ACCCCTGGGGGGTGGGGGGCAGGTCACTCACAACATCAGGTGGCTCCTCTCCAGTTCGCTCCGCTCCAAGGCGCCCCCGGTGAGGGCCGCCTGAGCCTGCGGGGGGGGCTTGGCCTCCATCTCCTGCAGGGCCGCCTCGGAGGGCGACTCAAAGACCTCATCCGGATAGGTTGAGAGCTCTTCCTGCAGGACGCCTTCCTGGGGAGGGAAAAGGGGGCTCAGAAGCACCGGACTTAGGTGGGGAGGATGCCCAGCCCTCCTCTGTTCGCCATCCCTTACCCGGGCAAAAAAGGAGGTGTCCAACTCATCTGGGAACTCCATCGTGTCCTCCTCCAGGAAACTGGCTGGCGTGAAGCTGCGCTGCCGGGCCCTCCGCACGGCGCCATCCTTCGCAGAGCGGCCCTGCCAGGAGAGAGGCATGGCAGGGGTGGGGTGGGGGTCAGGGGATGGACCAGCTGGGGGAGCCCTAAAAGAAGCCCGGCTCCTGCCACCCACCCAAGACAAGCCTGGGGCAGGTGGCAGGTGTGAGAAAGAACTCGTCCCACCCACGGGTGAGAAAAAGAAAAGCCGATCCCGAGTTCCAGTCCTGCGGGCCTTCGTGCAGCTCTACGAAGGAGAACCCTTCCTTGTGCCCACGTCTTACCTTCACAAGAGCCGCCGCCGCCCGGAAGCTCATCTTGGCCACTGACTCTCTTTTCCGCCGCCGAGGCCAGCGGTTGAAGCCGGAGCGGGAGCTGGTGAAGGAGCACAAAGAGGTGGCCCCGGGAGTGACCGGCGTGTGAGGCATGCTGTAGCCGTCACTGTCATCGGCCAGGCGGAAGGCCCGTCCGCGGGCCAGAGGGTCAACGATCTGCAAGCAAGGGGGTGGGTCAGGTGGAAGTCCCGAAGGGGAAGGGCCGGGAAAAGAAATCCTCTTCCCTCGGTACCCTCAGCAAAACCAGCCAGGGGGTCGTGGGGGGGGGGTCGTGGAGGAGTCCAGAGCACCCTGATGATGCCCAAAGGAGGGGAGCTTCTCCCCCCCCCACAGACACACACTCTCCCTACTAGCATTTGGGAAAAAAGGGAAACCCCCCCCTCTAGCTTTCCTGTCTCTTCCCCACCTCCTGGCTCAAGACTGGGGCTCATAGAGGCCCCTGAGTGGCTTGTGCATGCCACCCTTGCCGCCCCCCCCTCCCGCCTGCTTGCCCCAAACTGCGTCCTGCCTTCCGCCTTCTCCTGGACCCCGAAGGGCCCGTGGGAAGGAAAGGAGCTCCATACTCTGGGCGGGCGCAGGGCAGCCCCGCTTACCCTTTGCATGCCAAGCTGGCAAGGGGGCACGTAGAGCGGGGGCGGGGTCTCCGTGCTGGCCAGGGAGAGGTTGTCCTGGCTGGGGAGGTCCATCTCCCGGACCGCCTGGGCCTTCAGCTTCCCGTAGCGCAGGCTGCAGTGGCGCAGGCTCTTCCGCTGCCATTTCTGGGTGGCGTCGTTCTCCTTGCTGACCCCGAACCAGTCGGCCGTGCCCCTGAGGGGGAGAGGGCGGGGAAGCGCTCGGCCACTTGCTCCTGAGCAACCCTGGCCAAGCAGGGCCAGCTGGCCGGAGGGAGCAGTAGCCTCCGCCCAAGGTCCGGCCCGGCCAGACTGCAGGAGGACCCGGGGGGCGGGGAGAGGAAGCAAGCTAAGTCGCCACCGCTGTGAGAGCCCCCCCCACCCCACCCCATGGAAGGGCAGCTGCAGCGGAGAGCCTTTGTGCGTCGGGGTTTGTGCGAAGCACGGGAGACCAGACTCAGAGGAGGGAACGGGCCCGTGGCAGCGACTGTTGTGCATCTCCCCTCACCAGAGTGGCCAGGGAAGGATTTGACCGCGGGAGGGGGAACAACAGTCCCGGGACCATCCATCAGACAAGAAGGCACCGCTTCCTGCCCGGGGGTGGGGGGAGGACAGGGCTGTCCTCCTGCCGCCCCGCAGGCTTATAGTCAGGGAAGTGCAGCACTGTGGCAGCAGAACCATCTCCCCAATTTCCTCTCTCTTCCCCCCCCGGACCCACTGAGAGGGGGGGGCAAGCTGAGCAGGCACTCCCCCATGACCCCACAGGGGGACGACCGCAAACCCTAGGCAGGGCCAGGAGGCTGCGGGCAAGCGCTGGGCCTGCCCCTCGAGAGCGACCAGCCTGGGGACCATGAGATCTGGACTCTGGATTGACCCCCCCTCCCCCGCTCTGGGACCCAAGGGCTGACCGTGCGCCCACAGGATGGTGTGGCTGCCCTCCCCCCCCGCAACTTCTCCTGAAGCGATGGCAGGGGCGGGGGATGAGCGTTGCCCCAAAGGTCCTCGGTCGC